CTGCAGGTGGAGCCCCGCCCGGCAGAGGCGGCCCCCGCGGTGTTCCGGCCCTCGCGGGTGGGCACCTTTGGGGCCTGGGCGCGCCAGCGGGGAAGGGAGGAAGGAGATGGCCAGCTTGGGGTGGGGCACTGGTCAGCTGAGCTTTAGGGGGGCACCTTGGGTGCCCAGGTGCTCCAATTATGGAAGAGATGGCCAATGGATGGAGGAATTAGAAGGGAGGGCAAGCGGGCAGCGACCTGAAGGACAGGGAGGGGATGGGGGAACAGCCGAAGGTGGCGCACCTGGAGGAGAGAGTCTTCCGAGGGGGAAGGACAAGGGTGCCCTTCACTGGTAGAAGAGGGTGGGTCAGACACGTTCTGAGGGCCCTCCGGGGGACAACACTGGATCCGTGGGAAGAAGCAGGGGGCGGACTGAGGGGCCAGGAGCAGCCCCCTGCAAGGAAAACCTCTGGATGAGACAGCTGGGGGTAGTTGGCCTCCTCCAGACAGAGCTCCGTGATCTCTCCTCGTGCTCGGCTCTCTACTTAGTGGTGACGTGAAGTGTTGGAAGAGCGCTGGATACACTCCAGAAACAAGCTGGAATATGGGGGTCCCTCCACCCCATCTGCCTCCCCACCAAACCCAGGGCTTCTGCCAGGCAGGAACCTCCCTTCCCTTCGTCACCAGTCACCCCGCATCATGTGGTACACAGCGCCTGGCACAGAGCAGGCCTTCAAAAAATATTTGTCCTTCTTGTTGAGCTGCCACCTCCTCCAGGCTGACCCCTTGCCCAATGAATCAAGTCCCCTGCACGGAGCACAGGCCCCAGTGGGGGCTTCAGAGGTGTTGGGGAGGGAATGAATCAACCCCAGGGACCAGCAGGCCTTCCCAGGGGCTCAGCAAAACCTCTTTGGGAAGGGAGGGGGAGGAAAGGTGCAGACAGCCTTGAGAGGGGTCACCATGGGGGCTCAAGCCCCAGGTGGGAGGTGGAGCTGGTTTCCCTCAGTCCCTCTGATGCTCTCTACTCCTCTCTACTGGTTTTTCAGAGACTCCAGGCAGCTCCCCAAACTGCACTGGGGCAGGAGAGTCCAGCAGGGGCTGGGCGGGGTGGGGATGGGGTCATAGGAAGGACCGGGGAAGGTGGAGGCCCCCTGAGGTTTCTTGCTGGGGAGTGGGAGGGAGTTTTCGCAGCTAGAGCTGGGTTTCATTCCCGGAATGGACTAGGAGGAGGTGAAAGCCCTCCCCCCGCCCCCGCAGCACCCCGCAGGGCCTAATGGAAGGGGCAGGACCCAGGAGGAGCCTGGGGGCTCCGCCGCCAGCACCACCACCTGCTTACTGAGTGACCTGGGGCGAGTCCGCACCTGCCCCAGCCTCAGCTCTCACAGTGTCCACCTCCTGCAGACTCAGTGCAAGGCCCCTCAGGATGTGCTCGCTCCGCGTGGTGAAGGAGGCTGACATCCACATCTTGTCTCACCCACCAGCCTGGTCTGCTCAGATGCCCCGCACCTCACATCCTGAACCCAGCACCCCACTCTCTGTCTGTACCCTCGTCACTGCTCTAGCTCAGTAAAGCAAAATGGCTGCGACCGCAGACACTGGAAGACGGACAGACTGGGTTCAAGTCATGACAGCGAGGGGGCCCAGGCAAGCACAACCTCACCTGTAAAATGAACGTGATCCCAGGGTTGGTGTGGCCAGTTCATGCTCGGCAGCGGCCTGCCCTCACCAGTGTTCTGGCTGTTAGCTGTTATCATCATCATGCTAGCCTCACCTCTCTGATCTTGGGGAGACCCCCTCCCTCCATCCTCCCCATCTGTCAGTTCTGCCAAAACACCCACCCCATCTCCTGGGATCCCCTGGACCATGGTGAAAAGGGCTCTGCCCTGGCCCAACACAGCAATCCACCCCCTTCTTCAGCTTCTGAGCCAGGCTGGGGAGCCTGGACTTGGCAGTCTCCAACCACGCTAGGCCCCAAGGCTCGGCATCAGCCCCTCTGCACCCCCCCATCCAGCTTCCCCAGGGCACCTCCGGACTGTCTCCTCCATTCTCCTGAAGCCCCCTCATCAGAACCCCGCCCTCAACCTCCTGCCCACCCGCTCCCACTCAGCCTCATGCCATCCATTGCTTCCTCTTCTCTATCTGCATCCTTCCCTGTCCCTCTGTCCCCCATCCCCAGCCTCTGTCTCTGTACGGACTCCTCCCCATTCTTTCATTCATTCATGCTGACTGTTTGTTAAGCATCTACTATGTGCAGACACGTTCCCAGCACGGGGCTGGAGAGGAGAACAGAACAGACAGAACCTCCTGCTCCCATGGGGCTGACCTCCCAGTGGTGCGAGATCAACTAGATAAGGTGAACACATAACATGTGGGTCATGGTGAGTGAGAAGAGAAGGTAGGGTGCAGGGATGGAGATGGATGGTGGAGGGGGCATCTACCTTATAAAGGGTGAGTGGAGAAGGTCTCTGTGATAAGGTGAAATTTGTCAGCATCTCTCTGGTGCTCCCCATGGCAAAGCCTGCTTGGGTCTTTCCACGTTAAAAAACAGTCCTGACTCTATCCCCTTCCCGCTGCCAGCATATAGCTCTCCTCCCCTTCACAACTACGGTGCCAAAGAACACACCCACATTCGCCAGCCCCTACTCGCTGCTAGAGCCCTCCACCGACCTGGTTTCTAACCCCCATCCCACCCTTCCTCCCAGAAAGAAACTCTGGTCTCCCGGGGTTGATAATGACCTCCCTTTCCTGGAGCCAGTGGATGAATCTCTGCCCCCTCCCTCAGCTGCCCTCTCTGCAGCTTCTACCCGGGGGGCCCCTCCACTCCTTCCCTCTGCTTCGGTGACACAATCTGCTGCTGCTTCTCAGCTGCTGTACAAGTTATGCTCCTCCTGCTGGTCCCTGAAATGCTGTGTCTTAGTCTGCTTCTCTTTTCCGCTCAACTTGTTTTAAGTACAGTACACAAAAGTGCACAAAAGTTAGATGTTCAACTCAATGAACTATCACAGAGTAAACACTTGTATAACTACCACCCGAGTCAGGAAAAGAGGACACTGCCCTCCTCTCGAGGTCCCCTTCATTACCCACTGTATCCACCCCAAAGATAATCTTGACTTCTAACACTGATTTTGCTACTTGGGGGGGGGGTCTGTAAATAGAATCATAGAATATGAATGTTTTGGATCTGGTTTCTTTTGTTCAACATTACATTTCTGAGGTTCTGTCATTATTATATATATGTAGCTGTCATTTATTCATTTTTCACTGTTGTATAATATTCCGTTGTGAAAATACGCTGCAATTTATCCTCCTGTTGATGGGCATTAGTTTGTTTTCGGTTTGGAGGTTGTTATGAATAAAGCTATGTCTCAGCATGCACACGGATGAGTGTGGAGTGTACACACTCATCATGGAATTGCCCGATGATGGGGTGTTTGTATGCTGAGCTTCAGGAGCTGTCGTCAAAGTTTACCCAAGAGCTAATGTAAGAGAGTTCCTGTTGCTCCACACCCTCCCCAAGCGAGGTGTTGTCATTGTCTGTGATTTTAGCCATTCACCGCCTCTGACACTGTGCTCAGCATCCTCTCCTGAAGCTGGCCCTGGCCCTCCTCCTCCTCCCCACTCTGGATGAGCTGGACTCATCCTCGACCCCAGTACCCTCAAGCTTCACAGCCTGTCCATCCTCCAATCCTGTTGACTTGCTCTCGGCTCTCAAACCCTCCCCCTCCTCCCACCAGCCTTGTTGCCCCGCTGGAACTCAGGGGCTCACCCTTCCCTCGTGTGGACTCAAAGCTGACCATGTTCACTCTCCCGTTTAAGACATTTCAAGGGGGGCCGGCCCAGTGGCGTAGTGGTTAAGTTTGCACACTCCGCTTTGGTGGCCTCGGGTTCACGGGTTTGGATCCTGGGTGCAGACCTACATACCGCTCATCAAACCATGCTGTGGCACTGTCACACGTACGAAATAGAGGAAGATGGGCACAGATGTTAGCTCAGGGACAATCTTCCTCAGCAAAAAAGAAGTTTCAAGGCTCCCAGCTTGTACATGCTAAAGTCTAAATTCAAAGGTCTTCACAATACGGCCTCAAACCAAATCTCTAGCCAGCTCCCGTGTGCACCATCTGTTCTTCCCCGAACATTTGCAATTTCCTGAGCTAGGCGGGCCCCTTCAAGACCCTGTGCATTTGCACATGCTTGTCCCCTGCCTAGAATGCTGTTCCCACGTCCCACTTTTCTCCACTTGGGATGAGCATAAAGGTCAGGGTGCATGGTAACTCTAGCAGCAGCTGCCGTTCATCACATGGCTTCCGGGGGGTCTTAGTGCCGACCTCACACATCCTGCTTCCCGCCCCTTTCTGTGCATGGGGTAGATTTGCACTTCTCATCTTTTTAAAAATTAAACGCAGTCATGAGACTTGCCTTGGCGGTGAAATGTGAGGGAAGTGACTGGCAACTCTTCTGAGTCGGAGCTTTAAGAGCCTGAGTGTGGTTTGTGGGGTCCTTTCTTTTTCCCCCTGACTCAGGGTCTTGAAAAAGCACCCATCAAGATAG